GGGCAGCCCCCAGCATCGCCTCCTGACATGCCAGGGCCTCAGCAGCACGTTCCTTGTACCTCAGAGAGGGGAATTTGGGGTAGCCGAGGAGCATGGGGAGTCCCAGATCAGGGGATGGCAGGGCAGCTAGGGACAGAACGCTGGATGAGGGCAAAGCCTCACCTTTCTGGATGCTCTGAACTCTATTCCAGCTGTGCTGAACCCCAGGACCCCCCAAAAGAACCCCAGGGGGGGCACACTGTCCCCTGGCATTGACCAAGGAGCTCAAGCTGCTGCAGCCATATCCTCGCCCAGCCTGGCTGCTCGCGAGCAGGGCCTGCGCCCTCCCGACTCGCAGCACGAGGGACCCCGAAGCTCCACGCCAGCGGCTGTTGCTGCGTAATAAAATGCTATCGACTGCCTATTAAAAAGCCATTCCCTGGAGATTTGTGACCAGGGAAGTGGCCGGGAGAAGTGAGATGGGGCAATAACGGCCATCAAGGAGGCATCAGTCACATCCACCCATGCAGCAGTGACAAGGGGCCCCCCCCACGGCTGCCAGGGTGCTGGCCCCTGCCAGGACCATCAGCGATGGGAGCAGAGAGGGAAGGAAATAGGTGGATCTTGATGCCCTTGGCCATGCTGACACCCTCCAGAGAGGCTGCGAGCAGCTGGCAGGACCCTGAAGCGCAAAGTTACTGCAGCCCCATGCCCACCCTCACCCAGCAGCATGCAGCAGGACCCCCACAAGGGCCGAGGAAGGGCTTTGCCCACGGCAGACCCTGCTGTGGGTATGGGGGCTTGGGGGGCAGACTGGGACCAGGTCAATGGGGGCAGGAAGGAGTTTGCAAGCCCCAAATCCTGCCCGTTCTTGGTCACTGGCCTGGCCACGGCCCTCTGTGATGTGCTTAGTCGGGGCTGGAAGCAGACCAGCGGCAGCAGGCAGTGATGTCCCTGCCGGTGCTCTGCCTGGGGCTTGCTCCTCCAGCATTTCTGCTCGGGTCCCCAGACAAGCCCCGCTGGCACATCCACGCTGCCCAGAGGCACGGCCACGGGATGCTGAGCCAGGGGAGCTTCCCCAGCTGGCTGGGGGTAAACGGGCTGGGGAAGTCGTGCGAGGCAAGAGCTCAAGCTGCTCGGACTGCCCCCCGGGTGGCATTTCGGAGCCTCAGTATTTCATCCTGTGGAAGGACCTGGCGTATACCGGGAAGTCAGCAGCATCGATCTCAGACAGTAAATCGATGGGTACTTCCAGCCTGGGGGAGCGCAACCAGCCAGCCTGCGCTCCCTGGCATTTTCGTGACATTTCCTGAGCCGCGTGTCTGGGGACAGATTGATTGCCACCGCTCCAGAGGCAGCTCCCCCTCTGCAATGGCCCCAGCCCCAGCTCGGCCCAAGCAACTCGGAGACTGGGAAGAGTGCGTGCATCCCGCTCACCGCTTCCCTGCCATGCCATGCCCTGAGCCCACCTGGCCCTGCAGACCTGCTGCGGCAGCAGAGCCCACAGGCGGAGCCGGTGGGACGCCCCTGGTGCCCATCACCCTGGCACCCGTCACCCCCCAGGAGGATGGCCTGGGTCCAGAGCTGGGTCCTGGGGGATGCAACCAGGGCACAAATCAGGGCAATGGCTCTTTTTAATTCTCAGTGAGGCTCGGCCCATGCAGGGCAGGGATGGAGGAGGGCTCCCCGCATTTCCCGGGGGTGCAGGGGGCATGGCGGGCTGAGGAAGAGGAGGGCGGCACCCGTCAGATGCA